ATTGTAAGGCGTATTCTGTGTAATGGCCGCCTCACTGCTAACAGCGGCCCAACTGTCTACTCGATAGCTATTTATTGAGTGCCTTCTGTATGCCAGACACTGAGTAGCTTCCTCACATACAGCAAGGCACCTGCCACTAGGGACACAGAAGGGATTAGTATCTCAGGTACTGAGAACGTTCCAGTAAAGGGAATATGATGACAGCTTACTGCTAACTGGCTTGGAATGGTGCTAACTCATAGTAGGTGCTCAGTGTTTGTCTCCCTCTCCTCACTCCGTTCGGGAGGCAGCCTCGTACATAGCTCTGTAGCCTGGGCCTTTTTAGAATCTTCCTACTGCCGTCTTCTGATCCAGATGGAAGAGATGCAGTAGAGGTCATCAAGGAGCAGGTGCGGAGTTCCAGGTTCCTGAAGACCTCTTGCAGCATCCCCGGGCCACGAAGCAGAAAGCACAGAGCATGCGTACACTGAGGCTGCTCAGCTTACTTGTGTCGTGGCGGCCGGAGCGGTGTTGGCCGGACCTGCCTGTGTAACACTCTTAAGAATGTGTTCAGACCCAGCACCAGGCTTCTGCAGGGAATTGTTTAAACAGCTTTATTGAGATTATCATACAAGAGTGCAACACAGTGGTTGTTAGTTTATTCACAGAAATGTGCAGCCACAATGGTAGAACACTTCCAGTACCTCAAAAAGCACATACGCTTTAGCCAGCACCCTCTCTCCCCACTGCCCCTCTGCCCTCAGCAACCGCTGATCTACTTCTTGTCTGTATAGGGTTGCCTGTGCCGGACATTTCATGTAAGTGGAATCACTTCATCCGTGGCCTTTTGTGACTGGCTTCTTTCACTTAGCAGAATATTTCAAGGCTCATTCACGCTGTAGCAGCATCAGTATTCATTTCTTTTTATGCCTGAATAATATTCCATTGTGTGGATAGGCCTCATTTTGTGGATCCATTCGTCAGTTGATCGCCTTTTTGGGTTATTTCCACCTTTGGGCTATTATGAATAGTGCTTCTGTAAATGTTCATGTACCAATTTTTGTGTGGACATATGTTTTCATTTCTCTTGGTAGATACCTAGGAGTGGAATTGCTGGGTCGTAGAATGACTCTAGTTTGAACGAGTTGAGGAAGAGCCAGACTGTTTTCTGAAGAGGCTGTACCATTTTATATTCGCACCAGCAGTGTATGAGGGTTCCAGTCTCTCTACAGCATCATCGACATTTGTTATTATCTGACTTTTTATTATAAACATCCAAATGAGTGGGAAGTTACACTTCTTTGTGGTTTTGATTTGCATTCCCCAATGACTAATGATGGGGAACATGTTTTTGTGTGTTTATTGGCCATTTGTATATCTTCTTTGGAAAAAGGTCTCATCAAGTTCTTTGCCTATCTTTAAATTTGGTTTCTTTTTTTTTTTTTTTTTAAGATTTTATTTATTTGACAGAGAGAGCACAAGCAGAGGGAGAGAGGGAGAAGCAGGTTCCCTGCTGAGCAAGGAGCCCGATGTGGGACTCGATCCCAGGACCCTGGGATCATGACCTGGGCTGAAGGCAGCCTCTTAACCGACTGAGCCACCCAGGCGTCCCAAATTTGGTTTCTTTTTATTGACTTTTATTGAGTTACTCTGGAAACAAGTCCCTGATGAGATATATGATTTGCAAGTATTTTCTCCCATTCCATGGGTAATCTTTTCACTTTTTTGATGCTATCTTTCCAAGCACAGAAGTTTTACGTTTTGATAAAGTCCAATTTACCTATTTTTTCTTGTGTTGCTCATGCTTTTGGTGCTAAATGTAAGAATATCTTGCCAAATCCAAGGTCATGAAGATTTATTCTTATGTTTCCTTTTAAGAGTTTTATAACTTTTTGCTCTTACATTTAGGTCTTTGGCCCATATTGAGTGAATTTTTGTATATGGTATGAATTAAGGGTTCAGTGACATCGTTTTGCATGTGGATATCCAGTTGTTCCAACACCGGTTGCTGAAAAGATTTTTCTTTCCCCATGGAATGATTTTTGGCACCCTTGTGGAGAATCAGCTGCACACAGACACAGTTAATTTTTGAACTCTCGATTCTATTCCATTGCTCTACATACCTATTCTTATTCCACAATCACACTGCTTTCATTATCGTTGCTCTGCAGTCACCTTTGGAATTGGGAAGTGTGAAGGCTCTATGTTGTTCTTTTCTCGTGATTGTTTTGGTTCATCTTGGTCCCTCGAAAATCATGAGTTTTAGAATCAGCTTGTCAATTTCTATGAAGAAGTCAGCTGAGATACTGACAAGAATTACATTGATTCTGTGGGTCAATTTAGGGAGTATCGCCATCTTAATATTCAGTCTTTTGATTCATGAACTTGGGATTTTCCCCCATTTATTTAGATCTTCTTTATTTTCTTTCAACAATGTTTTGTAGTTTTCAGTTTTACACTTCTTTTGCTAAATTCATTCCTCCATATTTTATTCTATTTAATGCTATTATAAATGAAATTGTTTTCTTAACTTCATTTTCAGAATCTGAAACACAGTTGATATTTGTATATTGATCTTGTATCCTGCAACTTTGCTAAACTCATTTATTAGTTCCAATAATGTTTTAATGGATTCTTTAGGATTTTCTACATACAAGCGATAGTTTTATTTCTTCTGTCCTATTTGGATGCCTTTTCTTTCTTTTTCTTACCTAATTGCCCTGGCTGGAACTTCCAGTAAAATGTTGAATAGAAGTCGTAAGAATAAGCATCCATGTCTTTTTCTTGATCTTAGGAGGGAAAGCATCCAGTCTTTCACCATTCACTATGGTGTTAGCTGTAAGTTTTTTGTAGATGTCCTTTCTTCAGTTGAGGAAGTTCCCTTCTATTCCTAGTGTGTTGAGTGTTTTTTTATCAGGAAAGGACATTGAATTTTGTCAGATCTATTGGGATAATTGTACTATCTTTTTTTTTTAATTCTATCTATATGGTGTATTACATTAATTGATTTTTGACTGTTAAACCAACCTTGCTTTCCTGGGATAAATGCTACTTGGTCATGGTGTATAAGTCATGTTATATGTTACTGGATTTGATCTGCTGGCATTTTGTTGAGGATATTTGCATCCATATTTATAAGAAATATTAATCTGTAGTTTTCTGTTCTTGAGATGCCTTTGTCTGGTTTTGGTATCAGGGTAATAGTGGCCTCATAGAATGAGTTGGGAAGTATCCCTTCCTTGTATTAATTTGCTTGTAAAGAATTGGTTTTAATTTTTCTTTAAATGCTTGGTAGAATCTACTCATGAAACCATCTGGGCCTGGGATTTCTTGGTGAGTAGCTTTTGATTACTAATTCATTCTCTTTACTTGTTATAGGTTTACTCAGATTGTCTATGTATTTTTTTGAGTCAGTTTTGGTAATTTGTCAGTTACTAAGTTACCTAATTCATTGGCATATGATTGTCCATAGTATCCTTTAATGATCCATTTTGTTTCTATAAGATTGGTAGTAGTGTCATCTCTTTCATTTCTGATTCTCGTAATTTAACTCTTTTCTTTTTTCCTTGGCCAATCTAGCTAAAGTTTGTCAATTTTGTTGATTTTTTTCAAAAGATCAGCTTAGGTTGCATTGATTTTCCCCATTGTTCTTCTAGTCTTTACTTAATTTCTGCTTTACTCTTTATTTCCTTCCTTCTGCTTGCTTCAGGTGTAGTTTGTTCTCTGCACCGCCCCCCCCACTATCTTATCATGAAAGATTAGGTTATCAATTTGAGATCTTTCTTCTTTTTAAATGTAAGTATTTACAGCTATAAATTTTGCTCTAGGCACTGCTTTAGTGACATCCCATATGCAATGGCTTTTATTTCCAGGCAAGTTCCATATTTATCCCCATCTATGAAAAGAATTGATAGCTCCCCTAATAAAATCAAGTCTTAATCTTTCAATATCTACATTATGGGAGGAATTCATTCATGAAGAAGACATCTGGATCTTGTGGCCTCAAATGTGTTTCCCCATTGCCAACCTTGGAGGAGCCATTGGTTTTTGTTACTCTAGCACATTTCCTTTGTGGATGTCAAGATTTGTTCTGACCATATGTGGTATAGACATGATTACTGATGGGACTAGGCACATACGATCTTGTCTGGGATGGGAGGGACTGAAGAGAAGGAATTCCTAAGATATTTTTCTTCCTCTTTCTATCCCCATAATTCCCCTAAACTTTGTCCTTAAAAATATAACAAAACACCCCACACCTTTTGGCCATAGGTATAGCTCACAGACAGAGTTCAACAGGCTGAGGTTGAGCTTTAAAAATGTAGAAAGTCATGATTTACTTGGGCGAAGCGGAGCTGACGGTGAGGTTGGCTGACTCTTTAGGTCCTTTACTCCCCCTGCACTTTTGATTGGCTCTTTATCTCTCATCTACAGTTGATAGGGAGAACCCTGGGCTTGACCAGATCAGCATTTGCGTCCCCAGTTTGTTAGCTTTGGGGCAAGGGCAGTACCCTTAGGTGTTTGGAACTGAAAGTGTTGGGGAGGAAGCACCGTTGCCCTTGTGTGACCACCCAGGTCAAATTGTTTCTTTAACTCAGGGGCATTGTGACTCCTGCTTAATCTCTCTAAAGCATCCCGGGCCGGGTGAGGAGGGCAGTGTTGGTAGGCAAAGAGAAAACAGAGCAGGGAGATTCAGACAAGCTGGTAGAGACTGCATGGAAGGAGAAAGACCTTTGAATTTTACTTTCAAGTCATCAATAACCAAAATAATCACTTTTTCCTCTGAACACACAGGGGCACATCTCCCGTCCCTACTATAATATGCTTTGTTGGTGAGGCAAGTGTCTCAGTCTGTTGAGAGGTGAACTACTTGGGATTATGATGTGGGGTCCATTCTTCCCCATCTCTCATCCCCACAGATAGTGGCACCCGTGCTGCTGGGGAAGCATTTGCCAAGACTGTCAGGTAGCCTCTTGACTTGCTCTCTGATCTCTTCTTCTCTGTCCTGCCTTCTTGCTCAGCAAAAACAGCCACCACTGAGGAGTGCCTGGTGAACCCTGTAGGCATGAACCGCTACAGCGTGGACCCCTCCGCCTCTGCCTTTAGCCACAGGGGCTCCTTGCCCACCTCCTCCTCGCTGTACTGCAAGAGGCAGAACTCTGGAGATGGCCATCTTGGGGGAGGCCTGGCCACCACTGCCAGTGGTCCCCGCTCCAGCCCCATGTCCTCTGGAGGCCCCTTGGCACCTGGGCTGAGGCCCCCAGGCTCCAGCCCCAAGAGAAACGGGACCTCTCTTGAAGGAAACCGATGTGGTAATGTAATGCATGCTCTGGCTTCCCCGTGTTTTAACCTACTTGGCCCTTGCTCTGGGATCACTGCATATAGGGGGAAGGGGGTGGGGTGGGGGGGAACCGTGCTGTCTGAACATGGGAACACTGGGAAATCAGAAGCACTTTCATGGGTTTTTGTTGTTCTTAAAGGCAGCTAACTTCAACCTTTGACCACAGTAAAGAAAGTGGTATATTAGAGTAGGCTAGGCTGTAGGAGTAAGTAGACTCCAAAATGTACAGTGGCTCAAATGCAATAGAAATTTATTTTTTGTTCAAGAGTCCAAGGTGGGTGCTCCCAGTTGGTAGATGCATCCCAGTTCAGGGACTTAGGCTTTGTCCATTTTGTGGCCCTGCTATCCCCTGTGGCCTCCATGCCCCCAACACGTAGCAGGTAGAAAGGAAAAGAGTAAGCAGGGAAGGCACACACTCTTCCCTAGAGCTTCGAAATTATGCACATCACTTCCACTCACATTTCATTGGCAAGAGCTGGCCATTTTGCCACACTTAACTCTAAGGGAATCTGGAACTCTGGAATCAACTCTGTGCCAGGAAAAAGAAGAACAGATGTCAGTAAAGCGTCTTCTTTTGCATAGTGGGTGACATTTGCAGGATACAAATACAGGGACAGAACCAGAGTTCGATATTTCCACAGGGCTGGTTGTAATACCGTCTCTGCCTCACCCACTAAAGATACCTTGTTGGAATGCAATGCATGGAAGTGCTCTCGTTCTAGGGACAGCTTGGTATCCATTGTGAATTATGTGTTTTTTTAAATCATTTTCAAGCTTCAGTATTGCATTAATGAACAAAGGCTGTGGAGCATAGTAGATAATCACAGGGACTGTGGAGCCAGACGCACTGGGCCGGAATCCTGGACCCACCACTTCCTGACTGACCTTTTGCAAATCTGAACTGCTCTGTACCTCAGTTTCCTCACCTGTAAAACTGGGATGATAACAATAGCATCTACCTCATAGGTTTGTTGGGAGGTTGAATAAGTTCATATGTGTATTTAATGCAAGACCTAGGACATGATAAGAACTCAATAAACATTAGCAGTCGCAGATCATGTGAGCCCACCTCTCAACAGATCACAGCCCAGCAGCTCTGTACCTGAAAACTGCTGAAGAGAAGAGTCCCCGGGCCCAGGAGTCAGGGAGTCTTCATCTTGCCCCTCTGGAGCCTCCCAGTGGGTTGGCCGTCTTCTCTGGCCAGCCACATCTTTGTTCTGAGCCGCGGCTCTCTCTACCAGTAGCCCTGTGAAGCCACAGTGATGAGCTATTTTGGGTGGTCCAACATCCTCCATGTGCTCCCCTGAAGGACCTCTCCTCTCCGTCCCACACAAGCCTCTCCTGGCTGAGGATAGAAAGGTGGACAGGAAACACAGGGAAAGGCAGTTCTGAGGGGCAGAGCACAGAATCCGTCAGCCATGGGGGCTCTTGGCAAATGTCGAGGCATCCTGCAGACTACTTCCCAACATTGTCACATAGAGCCATCAGCCAGGCAGAAGATTTGAGCGGGCAGAGCCCATTTTCCAAAGAGGAGAGACATTGTTCCACCTGATTTTTAAGAACAAGAGAAGAGAACAAGATCTGGCACAAATCAACATCTTAAAGTAAATGAGGGGGCCCCAGCTGTTTCCTAGGCTTATCCCCCGAGTTTGTGTAACATCTGGTATAGAGTAGTTCAGTAAACGTTCATTATCTCTTTGCCCCTGTCATGATGCCAGGGCCCCCATGTTGCCCCTGGTTGTCAAACCCCTCATCTTGGTGTCCCTTTGCCCTTCACGTGTCTCTTCCTCTCAACCTCTTCTCCTCAACCCAATTCCCGTTTTCTCAGGGCAGTGATCATAGGACGTCACCTGATTGAATTGACTCATAATCCTAAGAGTGTTAACGCTTTTTCAAAAGGAGATATTTACTCTCTCTTCCATTCAAGTGGTGGAGTATCAGGCTCTAGGTCTTATGTGTAGGATTCAAGCAGTAAGAAGAAGGCATGATTTGGATGAAGAGAACTTCTAGCACTAGCTGAGAATTGTCTGCTCCATCCCAGTCTATCTGGTGCCCCTAGATGAGGGGAATCTTGGACCCCCTCAAAGGGATCTCAAGGTAGCTTCCCTCCCCTAGTCCTTTGTTGCCTCTTCTTAGAGGAATCCTGGAATGTCCTTCCATCCCAGCTTCAACAACCCTCTTGTCCTTCATTTTCATCTCCACCCCAGCCCTTTGTTCTCCTGGAATGATACCCTAATTAGCTGTCTGAGGAGTCTGCTTTGAGGGGAGGCCCAGACCCTCCCCCGGAACCAGCTCGGAGAGAGCCCTCTCCTTAGAGCTCTGGTTGCTCCCTGGGAGAGCCCCACTCACTCAGGACTTCTTCTCAGGATGTTGGGTAAAATCAGAGCGCTGGAGCCCACCAGTGCTTGCTACCTTCCACTCCAAGCAAATCACTAACTGTATCCTGAACACTGACTGTCTCTTAAATGACTTAGAAATATTAGTGAGAACTTTGATACCCAGCAAATCAGAGTTGTTCATAATTAGCAGGACCCCTTTGGGCTGTGGGATATTCAAAAATCACACAGCCCCCCCCCTTCCTCAGAGTACAGCTGCTGCAGGATGTAGCAGCTGAAGTTCATTGTTGAGCCACTGTGTTACACTGAAGAATAATAAAAGTATTTACCCTTTGTAGGTACATTAACTCTCGAATTCTCCAAAGATTCCTTTAACCAGTATGCTAAATGGAACCACAGATACCAGAAAGCCAGCCAGCTGTGCTCATTCTAGCATCAAGGTGGAGGAAGAGGGTGGGGAGAATAAGGGGACAGGGGGCAGTGCTGTCCTCTCTGACTCTCTGAAACAGGGTTCCACTCTGCTTACATCTCATTAGCCAGAATGTAGTCACGTGGCCACCAGCTGCAAGGGAAACTGGGAAATATGGTTTCATTCTAAGCAACCATGATCCCAGCTGGAAATCAGGGATTCTGTTACAAAGGAAGAAGTGGAAAAAAGATACTGGGGAGGTGACCGACAGTCTCAACCACACCTCCCGATTAGAAATGTTCATTCCCTCGATTTCCTTCCATAGCACTTTGTTCCCTCATCTCTAGTACTTCCTCCTTCCTGTCCCATAGTAGGAACCAGACCCTCAGCTTTGTGAGGTCCCTTGCTCATCTCTGAATCCTCCGCAGTCCCAGAAAAGGGGCCTGCTTGTTTGAGGCATTTACTAAATAGCTATTTATTGAGCACCTACTATGAGCCAGACACTTTCCATACATTATTTACGACTTCCTACAAGTTATATTTTATAATTTATTATTATGGTATGTGCATATTATTATAGTGGGTATTATTATATACAATGTACAGATAAAGAAAGTGAAGATCAAGATAAGGTCATTCAAGTGTGGAGGCAGGATTTTACTCTAACTGGCTCCAAAGCCTGCGTCTTTCAAAATTACCCCAGGCATTTTCAAACTATGTTCAGTGGGCTTCAGCGGGTCCCTTTGAGGTTCTAGGGGCGAGGGAAGAGAGAATGGGAACAGACAGGATTCCAACGCCCCCCTCTTTAGCCAGGGCCTCTTCACATTTGCAGAGTGGGGTTCTGCGTATGTTTTGCTTGAACCAAGTTTTCACAGTTAAACACATTTGGAACCCATAGAGATAAGCCATGCTGAATTGAGTGGCAGTATATTAAAGTAGGAGAGAAAACCATTGGCCTCTTGCCCATTTGTCACCTGGCTGCCAGTCTGGGCACCTGCTGTGGGACCTCTGGAGGCTTGGTAAGTTTTCCCTCCGCCCAAGGAACTGCTCCATTATTGCTCTGGAATTGCATCCCAAGTGTAAGTAGTTGGTGTTAAGAAACTGCACCTCTTTAGGAGGGTTTGACCCAAGTCATAAACCCTAAGAGGGACCTAAAAATGGATTTTTCCCCTGCGGTGCTAATCAAAATGGTTTAAAACACAGAAGCCAGAAAACTGCATGGGGCTGCAGGCAGGAGGGTGGAGATGGATGACGTGACAAACTTCTCAGCCTTTTCTCTAGTACTCTCCATGAGTACTTACCCTGGCCTCCTGCTATCTTGGTATCTTGTACCTATGGCCTCTGCCAGTGGGCTCTGAGGGGATGTATTCACATTTCCCTGTTTTTTCCTGATACTACAAATTTGAGAGCTCTTCCCTGTCTCTCATCCTAGATATAAGCACCAAGAGCTATAAAGTTTTCAGATAACAAAAGGTTCCTAACTTTTGCATTAAATAGGCCATGGTATAGAATTCCCAACCACAACTGGTCCAAGCTTCAGAATCAATAAATGAAGTAAATATGACATTGTTTTTACTACCCAAATGCTTCCCATGGATTAGAGTTTCCTTCATTGGGTGAGGTGTTGGGTGACAGAGAGACCACCCAGTCAGAAAAAGGAGAACGGGGCCCACACTGTATGTGAAGGAGTTCAAGTGAGTGAAGGCATGGCAAGGGCTTATTCATTCTGGGGAAAGAAGAGAGCTTGTTCAGAAATGCTGAGGGAAATCACGCTGCGAGATTTGGGGTCCATGTCAGGCAGATTGGGCTTTAGTCTGTGGGAAGCAGACATTTCTGAAGAGGAAAGTAAGTTGATGGGCATGGACTTTAGGAAGACAAATCTATTGGCCACTATAGGATGACATATAATAACAATTAGAAGAATAGCAACTACCTTTTGATTAATTCCTTACTGTTTAATGCTTCACATTATCCCATTTAATCTTCACAACACGGTAGGTGTTTGACAGGTGAGGCAACTAAGACTCGGAGAGAGTTTGCTCAGCCAGCAGATACTTATTGAGCATACTATGCTGCGGGCTCCTCTGAGGTCTAAGGATGGAGCTGTGAGCAAGACACATGGGGGCCCTGTTCTCCGACAGTGTGCAATTCCACAGAGACAAACATTAACAATATTGCACAAATTTAATGACAACTGCGACTATTGCTCCAAAGGAAAAGTATGGACGCTCTAAGAGAATGGGCTAGGGGGGAGTCACTGAGCCTACTCCAGGCAGATGGGAAAGGCTTCCCTGGGAAGTGACAGTGGAGCCAGCCAGACAGGGAAGCAGGAGTTGACTGGGGAGGGGCAGTGGAGAGAAGGAGTGGCTGGAAGCTTCCCAGCAGAGGTCAGGTTGCTTGCCCAGAGGTCACAGTGTCTGTGGTGGTAGAGAAGGATCCAGCCCAATTTGGCCTCATTTCAGGCCTGTGGTCTCTCCTTGTCTCTACAGGCATCCCCTCTTCTCATACAGCACGTCAGCTGGTCTTGAAGGAATAAAGAAAAAACCCGAGGGGCGCCTGAGTGGCTCGGTCGGTTAAGCATGGATTCTTGGTTTCAGCTCAGGTCCTGATCTCCTGGTCCGCAGATTGAGCCCCGTGTCAAGCCCTGTGTGTCTCGGGCTCCCTGCTCAGTAGGAAGTCTGCTTCCCCTCTGCCTCTCCCCCACCCCCAGCCCTGCACACACACTCTCTCTCTAAAATGAATAAATAAATCTTTAGGAAAAAAAAAAAACCTGATTAAAATTTGAGGATTAGTCAGGCTCTCTTCTATCTCCTATCTTTGTCACCTCATGGAGTCTTGAAAATTCTTACAATAGAAATAATGAAAACAACACTGTTTTAAACCATCTGATGTTGCCCAGCTAGCCTGGGCACCTCATACACTCTGCATGGCCTCATTTCCAGGAAGGATGCATTCTACAGGGACCAGGTCACTAGCAGGAGCTGAGAACACAGGTACTGTCCCCTTGCCTTCACCCCCATCCCTCCCAACCCAGATCCAGCTGCTAGAGAGGCTGAGAGGGCCAAGGGGCCTCACAGGCAGCCTGAGGAAGGACACTTTTTGGAGGGGTCCCTTTTGGAGACTCATGGGCTTCCCTTCAAGATGCTTTTCATCAGGCTCCAGCCCAAGGCCACATACTCACTTGATTCTTACAATACTCTTGAGAAACAAGATGAGGAAACCGAAGCCCACTGGGAATGATCAGGGCCTGGACAGGGCTACACGCCTGGCTGTTGGCTCTTCAGTCAGTGTGTTCTGCATGTGGACACACTGATGAGGCTCTCTGATATGTGAGAGGGTAACTCCCTTGGTGTTGTGCGTGACAGCCTGTGGCCAAAAGGGACCAAAACGGCAGCAGAGATGGAACCTTAGAGATTCCCTCCAACTCCAACTCCCTCATTTCACACCTGGGAAGCACAAAGATGCTTACATAGCTGGTGGGTGGTAGGGATTTTTGACTCCCAGCTCATTGCTCATTCCATTTTTCCACATGGCTCTACTGTTGGCTAAAAAATTTTCTTTGAATTATGAATGAGCAAAAGGAGATTATGTGTGTGGTTGTGGGCACATGTGAGACACAGAGACTCACAGACAGCAGTGCAAGGACCTAGGCTGTGACAGTGCCTGGGGTTGCTCTAAGCACTGACTCGGGGGCATTCTGTTCCTGGTGCGTGTGAGCTCAATCTTAGAAACAACCAGCGCCATCTTTAGTTACACATCCATTTGCAGCTGGGTTTCACTCTTCTCTGTCTCTGGCAGCTCCAGTGAAGGCACATGACATACACAAAGTTCCCTGAGCTGGAGAATGCTGCCTTCCCAGAAAGGCGTTTGGTGAGCACTTCACATACCCTCGTCCTTTAAGAGCAAGATTCTCTTCACATCCATCATGTCTCACTGCTGTCCAATGACCTCTGCCTGGCCTGGCTGTGTCAGGCCGGACCCATCTGTCTTCCTGACACCTTCACAGCCACTGGAGGGGGGCTGGCGTATTTATTATCTTTGTGAGCACACACCACTACAAACGCTTTACAAACCTGCCACTGGAAAGTTCCATTTCTCTTCCTTCTACAGCGAGTTTATGTGCTTTGGATCTTGAGCAACTCCCGAGGTGTGACAGGCTTCCTGCTGCTCTCTGTCTTGTATGGCTGAGAGATCCCCTCGGAGAGGCTCCCAAGCCAGGCCCGGCTGCTGCCGCTCCATCCTGGAAAAGTGAAAAATGCCCACAGCAAGCACCGGGCACCAGGAGTGGAGCCGCTTTCCAACTGGGCTGCCTCCATCCACAGCCATCACCTGGAGAGCCTCCTCATAAAGACAAGCCTGCCCCTCTTGCTTAACCTGCCCCCCCACCCCCACCGCAGCCCCTGGCAAAGTTGTGCCCTGACCTTGCTCAAGGAGCTTAGGCTCCCCGGGATGATGCCCTGAATCGGTCTGGTATTCTCCCTTCCTGTCAGATACAGGAAACTCGATTTGACCTCTGCTCAGAACACTCTAAAATCATTCTTGGCACCGAAAGACTTCCAGCCTTTGTAATCAGAGCATCTATTATCACCCCGATTAGCGCCGAAGCTCCGATGGGGCGGATTCCAAGGCGAATGCGATTTCCGTGATTTCCGTGATTCCTCGTCCCCATGTTGAGTGCAGATGTCTTTAAATGCAGTGAAATAATCTCTAATAAGCATGCATCGGCATTCAGATGGCTCCAGGGTGCATTAACAGTTTCCCGGCAAAATGCCCCGTGCCAACCCACCTTAGGGGACCCTTCCAGGTCCAGCAAGGAAAAGGCAGGGGAAATCTCAAAGTAAATCCAATTCTCAAGCAAACCATTATGATTTTAGGGCAGACGTGGAAATGCGATGCTGTACTTCGCTCAGCACTAATGGAGAACTGTGCCCTTCCTTCTCAAGCACATTAAAAAGAGGAGCAAGAAAGGAGCAGGAACCACCACACCCTGGGGCTGGAGGAGGGAAATGGAAGCCGAGGCTTCTGGACATAGAATTATTCTGTAGGGAAACCACTTCATTGTTCAGAGCCTCTGCTTTCTTCAGGCCTGAAAATAGGATTAAAAATTACCTGCTCAAGGCTTTTGTATGAGTTATTTATACTGTTTCTACAAAGTATATTGAGCCCATATTTACAAACACATTTACTTAGAATTGGAGAGGAGCCAATGATTATAAACCCTGTAATGAGAGGATCCTGTTTTTCACCAATCACTTTGCCCCGGACCTGGTACAGAAGAGACGCTCAGTAGATGTTTAGGGAATGAATGGGGTAGGGGTGGGGTTGGGGGGAATGAAAATGATCATCCTCAAGAAACTTAAACCTAAGTGGAGGTTACAGACACGCATACCTGCAGCATAAGGCAATTGTGGAAAGCATCTTAGAACAAAGGTGTGGGGGTTAAAAGCCGAGGAAAGTGACATCCAGATGGCAGGACACAGACACACTGCCTGGGAAGGGTCTGCCTGGGCTTTGATGGCTGGTGGAACGTCTATGGAAAGGGGAGGGTAAATGCTTCTAGAGGAAAGCAGAAAGCACTGGCTAAAGACGGAGAAGGGAAGCTGGGGAGACACTTGGTCGGCGTGCCCGGATGGGAGTGTGCAAGAGGGCAGTGGAGGCAGGCAGGGTGCCTCCTTCCCTCTGGGGAGCACCTGATGCACGGTAGCCTCTAGGGCTGGGCCTGATCCCATTTCAGTCCTGACACATGCCCTTCCTGGAGGACAGCGTTGCCATTTTACAGCCGATGAGCCGAGTCATGGTCAAATTGCTAGCAATTTGACCATGACTCCAGAATGGACAGCTCCAGAATTTGTCCCTAGGTCTCTCTGGCACCAAAGCTCTTCCCCTCTGTCTCAGAAGGAAAGATATTATTAAGACCAAAGAGAGTCCTTGACCTTGAGCTAGACTGTGGACTCTGGAGTCCGTGCATAGTAGGCAAGGGACATTCACAAGGGGGCACAGACAGAGCTGGGTCTGGGGAAAGCGTTGAGGCAGTAGACAGTTTTGCTCTTGAAGGAAGAGATCCCAGGGCAAGGATGCCCATAGAAAACCTTTGCAGGGGTTTGGGTAAAAGGTTCCCAGCTAAGGGAAGCAGGATGGAAGGGAGGATCCTGTGTGAGAGGCTTCCTTCTAAGAGCTTTAGAATAATTCATGTGGGGAGCGAATAAGGAATGCTAGAGATAGAGGTAGAAGCAGAGACATCACTGTGGTTTCAGAAACCTGAGGGGCGGGGGGAGAAGCTGGTGCAGGGGAAGGAGGATGAGTTTTAACCTGCCATGCGGGAGACTCCCGGATGCAACAGTGCAACTCCTGCGGTCATCGTTGTTCAAGGACCAGCTATGCACCAGGCACAGGAGTAGGCCCTTGGCTGTCAAGGGGTTCCCAGGCTGAGGGGTAGATTGGAGCACGTGCTCTGAAGAGCAGGGGGTGGTGAAGGCACTCAGGGCACGCCTGGAATGGCAAGACCACCTCTCCTTTCTGCTCAGGGCCCTCACAGACAGGGGTTCCAAGCATGGGTGGCAGAGACCACGAATAAGGACCCAAATGCACCTCAGCTCGGCCACTTCTCTATGGTCACGGTGTCCCCGGGGAGGCAGGGAGGAGCTGCATTCGTTCCTGCCCCCAGCACAGCAGGGGCCCACAGGGACACTGATCTTAGCCAGCTTTCTCAGGTCACCAAGGACCCGGCTACGGGAGGCCAGGGGCTCTGACACAGAGCTGAGCAGGAGGGGTTTTTAAAACTCGAGCGTGGATCAGAATCGCAGCCTGTTGAAGGAGATCCATTTTCTAACACGTTACTCCCTGGGAGAACAGAGGACTTGTGCACGGATGGAAGGCTCTGCCTCCGGGAGTGGCCTCCCCGTGCTCCAGGCTCCCGAGGCGAGCGGCCACTCCCAGCCTTCCTCTGGCGCAGAAGGTCACTCGGGCCAGGTGGGAGCAGGCGGCACCGGGGAGGCGGGGAGGCCCTCGTCCCCGTGTCTCATGCTCTTCTCTGTGCCCACCCATCCAGCCTCGAGCCCTTCCCCCGACGGGCAGGACACCAGGCGGCCGAGGAGCAGGAACCCGTGCACCTGGACTGTGGAGGATGTGGTCTGGTTCGTGAAAGACGCTGACCCGCAGGCTCTGGGTCCGCACGTGGAGCTCTTCAGAAAGCACGTAGGCGCAGGGTGGGCCCGGCCCCGGAGTGGGTGGGGGGGGGGAGGGCTGCACGAAGGCTGAGGGTCAGGCAGCCCCGGGGCTGCAGAAGGGGGTGGGCTAAACTAAGCGCTGGGGAGGCCAGATGGAGCCACAGGCTTCTCAGAGCAGAACAACCACATAGTTTTGTTTTTAAGAAGGGATATTTGTCCCATCTGTTCCCTCGTTTTGGCCTTTATTAGGAGTGCCTGTTTTCCTGCCCATCCATCCGTCTGGCTGGTCATTCGACATTTATAGCACACGTACAATATGCCAGGCGAACTGTAATAGCACAGATTCCTAAGCTGCTTGGAGGATTCGATGAGAAGACGCCCGTCAGGTGTTCAGCACGGTGCCTGGCTTGTAGCTAGCCTTCGTTCACACGTATTCACAAAACTAGGAGAATCTGAAATATATAAAGATGGTAAATGAAAAAAAAAAGTAGGTAGGTAGTAATTAATACTGCATCTGCCCAGCTTACTCTGCCAGTTTTCCATTTGCTACTATCACCAGTTACCACGAACATCTAGCTTAGAACAACACAGACTTATCATCTTCCAGTTCAGTGGGTCGCAAGTCTGACCAGGGTCTCAGTGGGTTGAGGTCAAGGCGTCTGCAGGGATGACAATTGCTTTCTGGAAACTCGAGGGAGAATTCGTTTCCCTGCCTTTTCCCGCATCTGGATCCACCCTCATTTCTTGGCCCTGTATGGCTCGGCCCTTGTCCTCAAATCCAGCAGCATCAGGCGAGTCCTTCCCAGGCTGCCAACTCCGGTTCTCTCTTCTGATTTCTTCTTCCACTTTTAAGGATCCTGGTGATTACACTGTCTGTCCCACCCGGTAATCCAGGATATTCCCCCTATTTTAAAGCCAGCTCATTAGCAACCTTAATTGCCTTTTGCCAGGTAACCTAACATACTCCCAGCTTCAGGGAGCAGGACGTAGACACCTTGGGGGGGGAAGCGAGGGAGCGTCATTCTGGCCTACCACAGTTACCATGATTCCTCCTCCTGTCTCTTACTTTTATTTGGTGATTCTGTCATAGAAACCATGTTCTCAGATCTGGGGAGACTCCTCCTCTAACCCGACCCTCACATTTCATTAGCAATATATCTGATGTCACTGGACAGGGGGGCCTTGAGAACAAGGACCCCAGAGAGGGTTACGTTGAGACGGATCTGAGTGGGAGGAGTCTGGCTGTCTTCCAGAGTGGTAGGGCATGGTGGAAGTCTAGGAGGTGGGGGGAAGAGAGAAGATTAGGCCCACAGATGAGATTTGCCCACTCTGCCATTTTGCCAACGACACAGAGAGTGAGTGATACAAAGTGGGTGCTTCTGGCTGGCTGGCTAGATGCATGAGAGGGGCGGGGGGGCCCTCACATAGTTGTAGGAGTCCTGTAACTGCCTCTTCCCCTGACCTGAGCACCCAAACTATCTTTGTCTCTTGTGACCTGAAAATAACAGTATGGGTGAGTGAGGAAACCGAGCCTTACTAGGTTCATGAATCGAACATGCGTTCTGGAGGGTCACCATTTTCAGAGACAAATGGGAATGATACCACGATCTCAAGGGGCTGGCATCCCCTTAGTAGTTCGTTGTGCTAAACCCTGAGATGAAGCAGGTGCATTATTTAGTTGTATGCCACCTGGTATTATTAACAGGGCCAAACACCTGAAATCCCTCATCAAGTGCAATTAGCAATTTGGGAATCAGCTCAAGGTCGGTGGGCTTACCAAGAAAAGAAACAAAGAGATTAGGGTGATGGAAAGAATACCAAGGCCTCATACCAGCACCTGAAATGGAAGGGTCATTGCTAGTTTCGGGGTCCAGCTGATGGATGACACTTTGTCTTAGTCTGTTCAGGCTACTATAACAAAGGGCCGTAGACCGGCTGGCTTATGAACAAGAGCAATGTATTCCTCAGCTCTGGAGGCTGGAAGTCCAAGATCAGGGTGGGAAGCCTTCTTCCGTGTTGCAGACTGCCATCTTGCTGTAGAAGGATACTAATCCTATTCCTGAGGGCTCCACCTTCATGACCTCATGACCTCCCAAAGTCCCCACCTCTAAATACCGTCACATCGGCCTGGGGCTTGAACTCAGGCTGACCTGCCTTCTAGTTTGGCCTAACCTCCACCTTCAAATACCGTCACATGGGGGGTGGGTAGGATTGCAACATTTGAATTTGGGTGAGGAACACAAACGTTAAGTCCATTGCAAACTTTTTGCTCCTTAAGCCCTAAAGCAGATAAGGAGATAAACATCACAGGGGGCATATTGGGAACATAACTGGGGTTTATGTTTTGTTCCTTCAATCGGGAGCGGGAATATGAAAAATCCAGTGTGTCGTATGACCTCAGGGAGATTATGGGAAGAGGAACACAGTATTTGTTTGCTTTATTTTTTAAAAGAAGATATTGCCTTGGGACTAAGAGAATGTGTGCCTGAGTGAATCCATATTCCCTTACCTCATCCCCTGACCGTCTGTTAACCGTAGCCACTGTTTGATAAATCTGACCATCTTCTGGATTTTCTTGTTTCTGATCCTGTTCCGCCAGGAGATTGATGGCAATGCACTCTTGTTGCTGAAGAGCGATATGATCATGAAGTACTTGGGTCTGAAACTGGGACCCGCGCTGAAACTCTGCTACCATATTGATAAACTGAAGCAAGCCAAATTCTGAAGGTTTTTACAAAGATAGAAGCAAAGTCCAGACAACAGGTCTCAAGATCATCTTCTGCCTTACCAACATCCAGCACCATCACAAAATGGATTCTCTCCTGAAAAATAACAGCCACAAAGACTGGGTCTTTTTATAAAACTTGTGCATCTCTGCCTTTTAAAAAAATTCAACATGGCCCTTTTGAAAGGCTCCTCTGTGTTAATGATTTGCCAAAAAAATAATGGAAAAGCCTATTATTTTAGCATTTTTATAGGTTGGTTGCTCTGAGAATGGGTCCTATTTTTATGATGAGAGATCAGGGAACCCAATGCTACAGCCCACGGAGAACCTTGGAGGGTTCCAAGGATGTGAGAAGAAAGACCTTTGTCTCTACAGGGACTCCACCATAGCACCACCTGTCTTTAACTCTGCCCCAGGGACCTGTCATTGTGAGCCTTGCTTAATTCAGCTCTGGAAGCTGTCCTCCGAGGAAACACGCCTCCTCACCTTGCACTATCTGGAAAACTTGAATTCTTTCGCTCTCTGAAAGAGAAGAAAAAAATCTTTTTCTATTCCTAGTTATCCGAAGTACTGTGTTGTCCCACTAGAGGGCAGACTGCTAATGAAGTTTCAGGACCCTCCCAGCAGCAGCCTGCTGATTTAGTACTTAGTGGACGGGTTAGGGTCTCTGTGAACAAGATCTAGCGCACAGACATGGAGAATTTCTTCCACAGTCAGCACCACAGATTGCAACTTGGGGAAGAAACTATCTTCTAGAACGTTCTAGTTCATATCCAGTCATTATTGACTGACTGAGATGCCCAAGCAGCAAAGGCAAAAATTTGGAAGTATGTTCTTCCCAGATGGGGCTTTGGAGTTCCTTCCCTTTCAGAGTCCTTACTGGGGTGTTGATGTGTTGGCACGCTGAAGAGTCTTAGTGACGTTTAGCCCATGGGTGTTTCTTTAAAAAAATTAGAAAAGTGTCTCAGATAAGCTTTGAAATGGGAGAGTGTTGATTTCTTGTTACATTGCTGGATTGTGTAGTTGTACCGCTGGCTAATTTTTCTAGTTCTCAACAAATACACAGACATGCTGTTATTGGGTTTAATTCCATTTACAAATAGGTTTTCCTTCCTCGCCGTGGAGTAATAGGAAAAAATCGATTTTTCACCCCTTTGCAGCTGTGTCCAAGGAAGGACAACAAGTCCCCAGTTTACGAGGCAGAGGGCAACCTCATCTCCATTCTTTTTATCCTTCTCCTTCCTCTCTTACCCTCTTTCTTTTATTCGTCCTCCCTTGCTGAAGAGGAAACACATTTTCAAAATGAATTCACCTTTGCCATGGGCATATCCTCTTCCTTAAAAACATCCACAGTGTTAGAGGTGAGGAGATGGATACTAGACTCTGCAATCTCTGGGAGGGCGAGGATCAAAGAAAACTCAAGGCCCCCCTTGGCCCAAATGCAAATTAGAAAAAGCACACCTTTCTCCGGGGATGCAGCCAAGCAGGGGGTCTCAGGTGATGAACGGAGCAGGGGGGGATTTCCTCTCAACCGGGTGCCCTTGTGCGGGACAGGAGCTGTGCAGCCTTGAGGCCAACCAGGCTAGATTTGCATACTGATCTTCTGTAAATCAGTTAGAACTTGGAGGAAGACCATAAGGAAGATTCCATGCCATGCTGTTAGACCCACTTTGACGAGCAATATTTGAGAAAGCACATCCTAGCAAAATCCTTTTTTAGGCACACAAATGGTGGCTGGACTTAAAGCATGACCGAGACGGGAAGGAGGACCACGTCCTACCCCTGCTCACCGACCTGAGCTTGAGTCATCAGGTTGCGGAAGGGCTTAGTGTCTGTTGCTTTCGGCACCTGACAATCCTACCTTGAATCAGGCCTCGGGGACAGAGTCTTCCAAGATTCTAAAGTGACAAAATGACTCTGCCCCTCAAAGTTTGTTCATTATGAGTGCTCATGGATGGTCTGGAGTTAGATCAGTCCCCTCAAAAGGCCACGGCTAGTTTATGTATTCAGAACTGCCAGTGTGAAAATAGTGAGATCCAGAAAACCCCACGACAGCCCATCCGCTGTTTTTTGCTCAGTCCTCTGAAACTTGTCATGCCTCTTTCATCAACATATACCTCGTTGACTTTCAAAACTTCCTACCCACCCTCACCAGTGCCTCTCTCACTACAAAGGCATGAACACTGGTGCTCCCAAATTAAAATCATCCCCAAACAATGTCAAAGAGATACTTTGAGTAGTTTCCAGGGGAGAGAGATTTTTCTCATCTCAAGTCTAGGAGAAAACTGGATCCATGTTCACGTGTAACTGCTCTCACGGAGGTGCGATCTCATTTTGCATTAAACTTTAAGCAGGACAGATTGCTGAAGCCATGATATTTAAGGTTTGACTTTTTAAAAATCTCATTACTCTTAAAATGAATCTGCCATATCAGAAAATAACCCAGGGAGGAAATTCCTCCTTGCCTGTTTTTGCACTGAAATGCAATTAGCCAACAAAACTATTGTAGCAATACTGCAATTATAATTAATTTTCACCCCTTTCAAAAATCTTGTCAAACCAGGCAGCTAAATAGCTCAGCAAATGTAAAACATGCCAGGCCATTTCTTCTAAATGGACCTTCAAGAGTCAGGCCATGTGTGTCACTCTCGTCCAAATGTGAGCTTATTTCGGGAGCCTCACACTTGTAAGGATACGGTACTTGTTATTCCACTGCGGTAGCTGTGTTTCAGGTTGTGGTGAATAATGATATAGTTTTGCATAATTCCAAATTAGAGTGTGTGGGTGTGTGTGTTCGTGTCCAGACATGTCCAATCACCCGTTTCTGTTAAACACTTTAAAAAAAAATCTAGAGACAATTCTATTGCCTAAATTCATTTTAAATATTTCATAAGTACATGAATCCCTTTGTGAAGACTTCAGGTAGAAGATGTAGGGTGTGTGTGTGTGTGTGTGTGTGTCCCCTAACACAGTGGTTGGAAGAGCCTAAGGAAGAGGCTGAGCGCGTGTCAGCTATTCGCTTTGCTTGGTTTAAAATGCCTCCCCAGTTTGGAACTTGGGAGGCAGAACCCGCTCTCGGCGGTTGGGACGAGGTATCCCCTTTACTGCCAGCAGGGTGCGCCCTGGAGGCCGCTGGGGACGGTGCCGGGCT